TTCCTATGACTTAGTGATGTCATAGCAATCGTTGCAGTACGGTGTATTATTCACATGTCTGCGGTGATGCTGATGTAAACAAATTACCATGCTGCCAGTGAAATAAAAGTATAGGACCCACAATTACATGCACTACATAATATTTGATACTGATACTACATGACAATATTATTGGTTTATGTATTTGCTGTAGTATACTTTTAATTATTGCTTTAGAGTGTACTCCTTCTACTTCTACAAAATCGGTTACCTGAAAAACAACCTTGGGCAGGTCCTGCGGAGGAATTCCAGAAGAAGGCCTTGTTACCACAGGAGAGGACGGCTGCACATGTGTTATTGCCCCTGAACCTTCCAGTGGGGCAAGATGTGGAGGGGATGACAGTGATATTGATCTTGCTGGCATTGCGTAGGCTTAGGCTAATGCGTATGTTTGTGTGTTAGTTTTTTTAAAAGGTTAAAAAGAAAAAATTAAAATGAGCAATGGGAAAAAAGCTTGTAGAATAAGAATATAAAGAAAATAGATTTTAAGACTGTGCAATTTGTGTTTTTAAATATAGGGTATTTAAAAAGAGGCAGAAGGTTTTTTTAAAAATGAAAAATTTAGAAAGCAACAAAGTTGCAGTAAGCTAAAGTTAATTTATTATTAGCAAAAGATAAAAGTGCTGCATAACTATAGTGTACCCTAGTGTAGAGTTTATGAATCCTGTAGTAGCGTGCTGTAATATCCTAGACCGTGACTTTCACTGCTACTTACTCACTGACTCACCCAGGGGAAATGCCATTTCCGCAGTCTTCATTCTTAGTCAGTGCCCTATAAAAGGATGCCATTTTATTGTTTTTTAAACCATATTTTACTGTTTTTTATGTTTACATACGATTAGATAAACAAACATTACCATTCCCTTCATTGCTTACATTATTCACTACAGTAACATGTTGGATGGGTTTGCATCCTTGGAGCAATAGGCTATTCCGTATAACATAGGTGTGTAGTAGCTGTATCATCTAAGTTTATGTAAATACACTCTATGATGTTGACACAAGGATGAAATTGCCTAAAAGACACATCCCTCAGAAGTATCCCTTTCATTAAGCAAAAAATTACAGTATAACACTATTTAATGGAAAACTCCAAGTGGATGTGTGTAGCAATAGTAGACATCAGCACTTCAAACTGAAACAGAAAACATTAGTGAATGATACGTTATGTGGCATCCTTAGTGAATGATTTTATTGTTTTAATTCCATAATGTGACTAATAGAAAAAATTAACCGAGTTTATGAAATATAATAAAATGTAAATATAAATAAATTTACTTGTAGGAGAAATAGATACAATATAAACACAAGCATATATGCATATAACATTGATTTATTTTATGAAAATACATTCCAATATATTTCACAGAAAAACATCTATACCTAGCCAACATTAGCCATTCTGATGGAAGGGCAAATAATAATTCTGATTGCAAAGAAATAAATATGGATTTAAATTCCAACTTTTTAGATTTTAGAGAATGGCAGGGCACAGTGGCTCATGCCTGTAATACCAGTACTTTGGGAGGCCAAGGCATATGGATAACGAGGTCAGGAGAGCGAGACCATCCTCGCTCACAGGGTGAAACCTTATCTCTACTAAAAATACAAAAAAAATTAGCTGAGCGTTTTGGCACATGTCTGTAATCCCAGCTACTCAGGAGGCTGAGGCAGGAGAATCGCTTGAGCCCAGGAAGCAGAGGTCGCAGTGAGCCGAGATGGCACTCCAGCCTGGGCAATAGAGTCATGCATAAACATTCCGCATTTTCTTGACAGAAAATAAATGATGAAAGATTTTTATTTGATATGATGAGATAATTTATGGTATTTTTCCTGATGTTCATGTATCATTTATTTTTTTCAATTTTGTTTATTTATTTTTGAGACAAGATCTGGCTCTGTCACCCAGGCAGCAGTGCAGCAACACTAACTCAGTTCACTGTAGCCTCGACCTCCAGGGCTCAGGCGATCCTCCTGCCTCAGCCTCCAGAGCAGCTGGGACTACAAGCAAACACCGGCATCCTTGGCTAATTTTTGTATTTGTTTTGAAGAGAAGGGGTTTCATCCTGTGTATCATGCTGGCCTCGAACTCCTGAGTTCAAGTGATTCTTAATGCTGGGATCACTGACATGAGCTACCGCGCCCCGGCACTCGTACCGTTTTACTTATGCTTTAAAAATCTCCATTTTCTGGTCTCCCCATTTTTAAGTAGTTGATGTCTTTAAAATTGCTTTTACCTCCCTACATAGTTTAACTTAAGCTTTAATCATTTACAACAAATATTTCCATTAAAATGCAGACAATAAGTCATGATTAGAGAGGGAATCAGTGAACAATATAGTGAGTAGTTTTTTATTATTGCAGTCTCTGGCATAGAGATATAGCTCAGTATTGTTTAATATTTTATTCCTTCAAGAGACATTTATTTTAATCAGAGGAATCTGGTTAACTTACATAAAGAAGAAAAATGAATGAGGGAATTTTAAGAACTATGCAAAGAAATCAAGAAGATAAGTTTGAGAATTCATGTCAGTTACAATTAAGTTGAAAATGTAACATTTTCTCAAAACAGTGACAAGTACATTAAATTCCGATTGATAAGATTATTATTTAAATTTTTTTATTATGATAGCAGTGATATTATGGGGTATATGATAAAGAAGTATACAATGCCAAGTTTTAGCCACCTTGTCTAAATGTAGAAAGTAACCATCTAAGATACTTTTAAAAAGTTACAAGATTTTGGTGAATGTGACTGAGATGGAAACAATCAACTCCATGGGTTAAATCTCTGCTCTCCCCCAACCCTGTCGATCATTAAAATAATTTCTCTAAGAGGCACTTGAAAATGGACAGACTAAATGCCACACTAGTCACCCAAAGTCTCATGTATTATAAAGTGTGTGATGAGACAAACTGATTCAAAATAGCCCTAGGGTGAGAATTTCCTGTTCAAATCTGTAGTAACACATTGGCGAGGAATCTACTTTTTCCACTCTTGCCTCACTCTGACCCTTCAAAGGGCAGTCTGTGAAGATCACAGATAAGGTTTGTGTCTTTAAGAGGTAACCTGACCTCCCCACTGAAGGGCGTGTGGCTTTCTGGTGACAGAAGGTATGTGTTGCTACTCTCCCAGTTTCTCTACTTGCTCCTCTGATTTAGTAGAAGTTTGTAAATACTGGCTGTGATGCACCTGAGGTAAAGTTTATATAGAGTAAAATCAAGGTAGAACTCTCTTCATGTGAATAATTCAAGGTGAAAAACGAGCCAAAATGTAAAATATGTTTGAGGATTTCTTAGAGTATCCATATTATTGCCTGTGGAGAATCACTCAAGTAGATGCATACATAATAATAGGTTTGTCAATCAATGTAATTCAGAGTGAAACCCATAACCATCATGACAATGAACAATTAATTTTGGATTTTATAATCATTACTGATTTAACTGTATATTACATTTAGACCAGCCTTTAAAAATACATTTTTGAAATGGATACCTCAAATTGTGAATGTCAAACACTAATTTGCAATCACATACCTAGAATTAATGAAAGCAGTTTTAGTTTTTAATAAAAGCAAGGTTGAAATCATTTCCATAAAATGCAAATCTGACCTGAATTATAAACAATTGAAAGACTTAAAACAATTGAACCAAACACTGCAAAAAAGATGTACCACACTGACATGAGATGCCTAATTAATGAGTTATTTTACACACTCTAATGCTAATCAGAAATAATAAAATGGCAGTTGTGTTACAAATAGTTAAAATGTCTATTAGGTATTCAGTGCTAATATGTGCCAGATTGTGTGTTTTGTTTTTTACATACATTATACTTTATAAAGTATTTATCCCACTGTAAAGTACGTTAATAGACACTAAGTAATTTACTAAATGTCACACACTATAACTTGCAAAGCTAGAATTAACTGTAGTCTCACTGACTAGAGCTCATTGACTAGATTATTAAATTACATTATCTGAACTATTACAATTACTTATACATCCAAAGCGACCCTCACTGACTTCTACAACCATAGGAGCTTTCTGAAAGTTTGATTGGACACTGTTCTTCCATAGATGGCCCACACGTTTATTTATCATTTAGGTTTTCCTATTTCAATCATTAAATGAATTATCAATTTCTTGTGTAAAAGAAACAATTCAAAATATATTTTGTTTTCAATAGTATTTAGTTTATGCATAGGGTAATGTAATGTTTTACAAGATATGAGATGTATTTTTATAATTTTAATGGTTTTTCTGATTTCCTAATTTAGAAATTTAGTACAAGAAGTTACTCTATATGCTAGCAGAATTATTTTATCTTATGGCACACCATCCTTAACCATCAATGAATCCTAAAACTATAATAAAATTTGTGTATTACTAAATACAGTATTTTAATTGTTAACATATGCAGTCTGTTGGTGTTGTGTTTTTGAAGAATCTAACCCTAATTTAATACAAATATTTTTTTCAAGAACTTCCTAGTTCTCACAAGTTTAATGTTTTTATTGTTCCCACTAGAAATATTATGTCAAATACAGAATACATCTAAAAAATTACCAATTATATCATGAGATTTTTGTTTAAAGCTTTAGGAAATTAGTACCAGCATTTTACATTGGTCAACAGCAAAGTAAACATTACTGCTCAGCTCCAACATATGCAGTTTGCCTATACCAGGGATCCTGTCAAAATATACACCATTCATAGCTTCTTAAGTGCAGTTATCGTAGAGCACAGTCCCTGACATCACACAGCTGCAGAGATGAATAAACAAAGAGGAACCTTCTCAGAAGTGAGTCTGGCCCAGGATCCAAAGAGGCAGCAAAGGAAACCTAAAGGCAATAAAAGCTCCATTTCAGGAACCGAACAGGAAATATTCCAAGTAGAATTAAACCTTCAAAATCCTTCTCTGAATCATCAAGGGATTGATCAAATATATGACTGCCAAGGTAACACATTAAATAGATCTTCAATATTATCGTTACAGGATGTGCAGTTGAGTGCAGAAGGGTGGGGAAAGATTAGGGAATATTTTGCACTTGTGAGAATCAGAGTTCATAATTGGGATCTAATATTCTAATATGACATCAGAAGGCTAATTTTATTTGAACATTGTTCAACCGTAATCTGTGATCCACTCATGGAACATTATGTTTCCTGAAAATGAACTGGTATATTCTGAGAGAAAGATTACCAGAGTAGATGTAGATTTAGAGGCCAGAGGTTATCATTATGTTTCCCTGTGCATGTGGGTTCTCTAGTATGGAATCCTAATCAACTCTCTATCTCCCCTCTCTCAGTGCCTCTATTTCTCTCCCTGCAGGTTTACTGCCA